GTGCACTAATTTTGTGCATCAGGCCTCTAGTATACATTATATATGTCATCCATGAATATATATGTATACAAACATATATAATGTACCCAATGTAACCTCACTATCAAGGTTTAGTATAACAGTATGCATGGGTACTCTAACTGGGCTCTCTGTCACATGGATTTTCTAAAATTTTATACTTTATAATTTTTTAGGGTTTTGTGTTAATTTAAATAAATCTCTCTGTGTGTGTGTATAAAATTCTAATGGGCATTGCAAACATTTTCACATTTTGATTATTTATGGTGATAGTGTAACATGTCATTGTGTTTGATAATGCTACCAATCATTATCAACTATACTAATATTAATAATAAAACATAGGCATTAACAGCATACCGAAAGACAAGTGCACTTTACTTATAAAAGTTGTGCATTTTTTTGCATACTATATTTTAAAAAGCTGACATTTAAAAGAGTCTAATGCACAAGAATTTACCTATATTTTAAGTATACTATTAAACAGTTTATTATTTTATTTTTGTCTTTCTAATACCAGGTTTCTTCAACAGCGGTTAAAAAAGGCTGTGCCCTATAACCGCATGAAACTTATGATTGTGGGAAACACGGGGAGTGGTAAAACCACCTTACTGCAGCAATTAATGAAAACCAAGAAATCAGATGCTGAGATGCAGAGTGCCACCGTTGGCATAGACGTGAAGGACTGGCCTATCCAAATAAGAGGCAAAAGGAAGAAAGACCTGATTCTAAATGTGTGGGATTTCGCAGGTATTTATTTTGCTAGAATTTTAAAATCATTTTGATCTCTTATTTAGAATTTGGATTTAAAAACTGAGTTTTCTGTTCCAATACTGCAAAGAGACCAGTGAATCCTATGGAATTATTCCAGAGCTGTTTACTTCCCCCAACATTACCCTTGCCACCAGGACGGAGAAGTGTATGGAAGGGAATGTTAGAAACTGTAGGGGCAGCTGAAGCTGAGTATGGGGTTCATAGCTAACACTTCAGCCAGAAGTTCTCAATCGCCAGTAAAAACTCAGTTATAGTCTTCTAAGCATCGTTGATTGTTCTTCTCCCCCTTTTTTAAATGCTAAATTGTGTATAGTATCATCTAAAAAATTTGTTTTGAAAAGAAGCAAGGCTCAAAAAGAGTGTCCAATCTCTGTTTAGGTCGGGAGGAATTCTACAGCACGCACCCGCACTTCATGACCCCGCGATCCCTGTACCTCGCCGTCTATGACCTCAGCAAAGGGCAGGCGGAAGTTGATGCTATGAAGCCTTGGCTATTCAATATAAAGGTGCTCTATTCTAATCATTTGAGAAAACTGAGTCATTTTCATTTTTTTTGTATGTAAGGTAATTTACTTTAGGCAAAGAGTTGCTTTAAGAGTTTTGTGGGGT